AAAAAGAAACCTCAGTCCACCTTGCCCCCCCCCACCCCGCGTCTTCCCTTCCCGTCCTCATTTCACACCGTGAGCAGTGATGAGAGGCTAATGCGACTCACATGGGCCTTGCTCGTGGCGGATCTGTCGACAGTTATGAAGGCAGCGCACATCCGCGACGGAACCGATGCCGCTTCCCACACCGTTAAACACTACCGTCCTTTAGGTTACCAGCAACTAGTGGCTACAACCTTACGTTTCGGCTACTTATAACATCTGAGTGTGTAGTGCTCACCAGAGTTATCGCTTCCCGTTACGCTGTACCGCGCACTGTGCCCCAAAAAAATTTAGACTGAAGCACTGAGAGTATAAATACACGTTCTGCAGGGGCTATCCATTGAAAATCGAGGGTTTTAGTACAAGAACCTGGAAATTAGTAAAAAGAAGTGGAGAGGGATAACCCCCATGAGTATAGATATCACTTTGAGCAAACGCAGATTGATCAAGGCAGGAGACACCGCATAAAACTAAGCGGGTTAACCATGCGCACATCCCAAAACCCTGGACAGCGGTGGACTCGGTGAGGTTTTTTTCCCCATAACACTTAACATAAAAAATATAACTGCTTCACAATCCATAAACTAAGGAGATACAGACACATAATATAACGATCATAGAGGCTTGCAAAGACAACGCTACGTGGAACAGAACAATTTGGAAAAACGAGAAGTGGTCAGAGACAGAAATGAGACGAAATCATCCCAAAATGAACATGCCTCGAACAATGACTTAAGAGATGGATAGAGCGAGCGGGTTGCCAAGTTGTCTAGTTTTTCTGTGTTCGATGACTAAAAGATTCGTTCTATAATTTTTAGCCAAAGATGCACTCTTAAAATAGTCCCGAAACAGGGTTTCCACTAACGTAGCAACAATTTAGACCAGAGGTTGCCAACCAAGGCGATATCGCCCACCAGGGATTTGTCCGGGTAGTTGCAGGTTTTATTCAATGCTCCGCTTAGAAATACGTGTAAGTTGTTTGTTTCTAAAATGCTAGCCTCTTAAATAAGGAAAAGTGGGCGCTGACTATAAAAAGTTGACAAGCATTGGTTTCGGTTCCAGTTTGTTAAGAGTTTTACAGCGCTCACAACTGCATAAGGTTATATATGTGAGTATGCTAGCACTGGTTCAGAACTTCACACCCTCGAGAGTCGCCGGATACCGTAAAGCAGCTTGCCGTAATGCGCTTATTATTTTAGTTGCTGTGTTCCCCATGGTAACATCTTCCTGGCACCGTGTTTCATGTATCTCGGCCGCGACCCGTCTTTCAGATGTTGATCACTTGTCGGGCCCGATAGGGAACAACTGGGGGTGCCGAGGAGAAGTGAGAGAGAGAGAGAGAGAGAGAGAGAGAGAGAGAGAGAGAGAGAGAGAGAGAGAGAGAGAGAGAGAGAGAGTCACACATTATAATAAATTGCTAGTGCCCGCTTCGTTCCAGGATGTAGAGAGATAAAAAGGCGGGGAAATTTATCTGTCAAACGGACAGTGCATAGCTACCTG